CAATATGAAGTTCAACGATGAGAAATTTCAATTACTCAGATATGGTAAACATGAGGAAATTAAATCTTCATCAGAGTACAAAACAAATTCTGGCCACAAAATAGAGCGAAACACCAACGTCAAAGACCTGGGAGTGATCACGTCGGAGGATCTCACCTTCAAGGACCATAACATTGTATCAATCGCATCTGCTAGAAAAATGACAGGATGGATAATGAGAACCTTCAAAACTAGGGAGGCCAAGCCCATGATGACACTCTTCAGGTCACTTGTTCTATCTAGGCTGGAATATTGCTGCACACTAACAGCACCTTTCAAGGCAGGTGAAATTGCCGACCTAGAAAATGTACAGAGAACTTTCACGGCGCGCATAACAGAGATAAAACACCTCAATTACTGGGAGCGCTTGAGGTTCCTAAACCTGTATTCCCTGGAATGCAGGAGGGAGAGATACATGATTATATACACCTGGAAAATCCTAGAGGGACTAGTACCGAACTTGCACAACGAAAATCACTCACTACGAAAGCAAAAGACTTGGCAGACGATGCACCATCCCCCCAATGAAAAGCAGGGGTGTCACTAGCACGTTAAGAGACCATACAATAAGTGTCAGGGGCCCAAGACTGTTCAACTGCCTCCCAGCACACATAAGGGGGATTACCAACAGACCCCTGGCAGTCTTCAAGCTGGCACTGGACAAGCACCTAAAGTCAGTTCCTGATCAGCCGGGCTGTGGCTCGTACGTTGGTTTGCATGCAGCCAGCAGCAACAGCCTGGTTGATCAGGCTCTGATCCACCAGGAGGCCTGGTCACAGAACCGGGCCCGCGGGGGCGTTGACCCCCGGAACTCTCTCCAGGTAAACTCCAGGTAAACACACACACACACACACACACACACAAACGAATATGCACAGATAAGAAGGGAGGCCCAAAGACAATATGAAAATGACATAGCAGCGAAAGCCAAATCTGACCCGAAACTGTTGTACAGCCACATCAGGAGGAAAACAACAGTCAAGGACCAGGTAATCAGGCTAAGGAAGGAAGGAGGAGAGACAACAAGAAATGATCGTGAAGTATGTGAGGAACTCAACAAGAGATTCAAAGAAGTGTTCACAGAGGAGACAGAAGGGGCTCCAGAAAGACGGAGAGGTGGGGCACACCATGTGCTGGACACAGTGCACACAACCGAGGAAGAAGTGAAGAGGCTTCTGAGTGAGCTAGATACCTCAAAGGCAATGGGGCCAGATAACATCTCCCCATGGGTATTGAGAGAGGGAGCAGAGGCACTATGTGTACCCCTAACAACAATATTCAATACATCTATCGAAACAGGGAGATTGCCTGAGGCATGGAAGACAGCAAATGTAGTCCCAATCTTTAAAAAAGGAGACAGACATGAAGCATTAAACTACAGACCAGTGTCACTGACATGTATAGTATACAAAATCATGGAGAAGATTATCAGGAGAAGAGTGGTGGAACACCTAGAAAGGAATGATCTCATCAACAGACCTGGGAGTGATTATGTCGGAGGATCTCACCTTCAAGGACCATAACATTGTATCAATCGCATCTGCTAGAAAAATGACAGGATGGATAATGAGAACCTTCAAAACTAGGGAGGCCAAGCCCATGATGACACTCTTCAGGTCACTTGTTCTATCTAGGCTGGAATATTGCTGCACACTAACAGCACCTTTCAAGGCAGGTGAAATTGCCGACCTAGAAAATGTACAGAGAACTTTCACGGCGCGCATAACGGAGATAAAACACCTCAATTATTGGGAGCGCTTGAGGTTCCTAAACCTGTATTCCCTGGAACGCGGGAGGGAGAGATACATGATTATATACACCTGGAAAATCCTAGAGGGACTAGTACCGAACTTGCACACGAAAATCACCCACTACGAAAGCAAAAGACTTGGCAGACGATGCACCATCCCCCCAATGAAAAGCAGGGGTGTCACTAGCACGTTAAGAGACCATACAATAAGTGTCAGGGGCCCGAGACTGTTCAACTGCCTCCCAGCACACATAAGGGGGATTACCAACAGACCCCTGGCAGTCTTCAAGCGGGCACTGGACAAGCACCTAAAGTCAGTTCCGGATCAGCCGGGCTGTGGCTCGTATGTTGGTTTGCGTGCAGCCAGCAGCAACAGCCTGGTTGATCAGGCTCTGATCCACCAGGAGGCCTGGTCTCAGACCGGGCCGCGGGGGCGTTGACCCCCGGAACTCTCTCCAGGTAAACTCCAGGTAAACTCCAGACATGTGCCTAGGACAAAATGGTAACTAACACACACATATATACGCATGCACATACAACAGGCCTAGTGTCTAATCGACATGTGCCTAGGACAAACTGGTAACTAACACACACACACACACACACATATATACGCATGCACATACAACAGGCCTAGTGTCTAATCGACATGTGCCTAGGACCAAATGGTAACTAACTAACACACACACACACACACACACACACACACACATGGTAATGCATTATTTACAGCTAGCAAAGTCAGGGTGTTTCTCCAGAATGGTCTGTAATATACCACTGTGGATAAAATATTTTGCCATTTCTTGAACATTTCTGAGTGAGTTGTTTCTAAATTCATTAATTTGATCACACTCCAGTACATAATGACGCAAGGTGTGACAATAGTCCATCTGGCAAAGTTTACATTTCGTTTGGTCTACATCTGGCGGTGGTGATTTAACCTGCCATAGATACTTGTAACCCAGCTGGAGCCGGGCAGTAGTGACATCCAAGAGTCTGCTTATCTTGTTGGATGCACCATAGACATGTGGTTCCTCCTGCATGATGGAATGATGATAGATGGACTGACTTGTGTCAATCTCCCTAAGTCTTAAGTCAATAAAGCGAGAGCTTTAGCCACCAGGCCACATGATTCTCTGACGGCTCCCTAACGACACCAGGAGACGGCTGAACCCTCAGGGCACCGCCAAGCAGCTACACCAGGCCCACTTCACCATGTATAATATAATATATGAAGCCCATGGTCCCCAGGCAGATGATGATGATGGCATCTCAGCGGCAGGATGCAGTGGCGGCCCAGGATCACTGCCAGGAGAAGGTGAAGAGGGAGTGAGACGCCCCGGGCAAGGAAAAATATAATCCTTATTTCTACAAGTACATGATACAACTTACGCAGACCTAGCTGATATCAATGACATACTATATGGATTATTATTATTATTTTAATAAAAAGAAGCGCTAAACCACAAGGGCTATACAGCCATACTATATGGAAACCATGTTATGCAGAGCAAATCAGGTTAAATTTATTCCCAGGATGCGACCCATTCCAGTCAGCTAACACCCAGGTACGTACTTACTGCTAAGTGAACAGGGACAGCAGGTGTCTTAAGGAAACACGCCCAATACAACGAATACAAATAGAAAAGCTGAGTTCGTCACCAACCGAACTAACAGCCATACCTCGCGCACTGGCACGCCAGCGTTCAGTAAGTTCAAGGTGGCATGTTATAACTCTGAGCAACCTGGAGGACACCAACCTCAAATTCCGCTGCGAATTTACGCTCAGAAACGATATAAAGATCATTCCCCGAGACAAGAGACCTACGCCAGAATGAAGGAATAGTGTCAAGTCACGTCTGTGAAGATGGCGGGGGTTAGAAGTGATGAGAGATGTACAAGGACGTGTTCGTGCACATCTTATCTCCTTAACCTATTCCAGCCCATCATAAATACATATGTAAAAACTATACATGCATTTGCTCAATATCACGAACATAGGTAAAACATTATAATCAATATATACTTACTCGCAATATCTGTAATCCTTTCAAATGTTAATCATTCCATTGTGTCCACCTTAGGTTAATAAAAACTAATTCCTCTCTACCAAACTTATTAAAGACATATAGCATGAACTAATAGAATATTCACTTCTCTTGTATTCATTATAAACTTGCCTAATGACCAAATGTACAAAATTACTGCACTGCCTTAGTAATCTTAAGTTAGTCTTAAGTTTGCCCGAAATACTCTGTATACAAAAGGGGCTTTTGGCATGTACATCCAGTTGGTATACTCCTTTGTACAAACATGTATCATGCTGAAATAAACTTATTCTTGTCACCATGCCCCTACCAGCAGCTTGCATCAGGTAAAGCGCTTTTTCTTCAGGAAGAGCAACGAGGCTTCCTGACAGCAGGTGCCATAAGCAACATTATGCGCCCGTATGTTTGATACGCAAACGTATTTTTATATTTTACTGTATTAGACTTTCATGACTACGTACATTTGAGCACATTGAGGTAGAGGGGGCTGGGTAGCAGGGCTTATGGATTACAGGGATACTTTTCTTGGATCATTGAGGTAAAGGGAGCTGGGCAGCAGGTATAGGTACCTGCTGCCCAGCCCCCTCACAGTAAATTTATTCAGGTACAGGTATAAATAAACACAGTTACATAAATTATCATACACAACAGCATGTGTAGATTACGCAGGATAACCCAATAAAATTATTATTATAGTCATGGGGAGCGCTAAACCCGTAGGATTATACAGCGCATGACCCAATAAGTCAAAGTGACTTATTTACATTGGATTCCATTGAGCTTATGGAATACAGGGATACCTTTCTTGGATCAGTCAGGTTGAGGGGGCTGGCAGCTGGGCTTATGGAACACAGGGATACCTTTGTTGAATTGCACTGCAACCGAAACACATGTACTAAAAAAATATCGTGGCAGCCGCATACTGCGGATGTACCAACATTTTTTTAATACAAGAAAAATAACTACACGATTCTTCAGGTAAGATCACATGGAAAAAAAGTTGTATGACTATTTGAGGTTTTCATAAATGTAACGAGTTGTAAAGAACAGTGTCTTTTTGTTAGTGTTGCCAAATTATTATGATGATAGGTTAGTAGATATAGAGTAGAGGTTATGTCAGGATGTTCAGTGTTCCTTGGGAGTCAAACGGCGTCTCTGCTCTCACACACTCTCTACCACTCATATACTCAATACCTTCTTACCTTTAACTCATAAATTATACGTCTTTTTATAAAAAATTTTTTTTTTTTTGCTTTGAATGTTTGTTGTTAGGCAATTTTCAGAGGATCTGTGTAGTTTTTGCTAATTTTCTGTATAGTATGATACTTTCTTATTGTTGGTTACATAAGGTGTATATAAGCCAGTTATAAACAAAATGAAGGAAAGGTCACGAAAAATCATTTGAGGTGCTCGGGAAACGAGACAATCCTAGGTAAGACCTTAAGTTTCACCCCGAGACTAGCTTACACGAAGAGTGATGATGGTAGAGTGTAGCGGCGAGCAAATTGTAGAAGATAAAGATGTAGAGAAGATGGAGATTAACAGCAGTGAAAGGCGCTGCCTGGGGGAGGAAGGATGGCTAACCTCCCCCTCCAACACCACCACATTTCCATTATTTTCTCGTAATTATGGAGCTGTAATAGGGTGTGAGTAGCATGGAGCTTTCCTTCCTCTCTTACTCTGGGAGTGAAAGAGTTAACTAAGAGGAAGAGCACTATCGACAGACTTTGGGTGAAAACGTTAGGTGAATGAATAAGTCATTTGTTCATTGTCTTTAGGACAAAACTGGTGCAGGTAACTGCCCAGTTATAGTTGTAATTATTGCCGTTGTATTAGTATTATTTATTAATAAATAATATTTTGTTGAAATTTTATTCGTTTATTTTACCAGTGTTCCCATTATTAATTATTGTCATTCATTCTCTTTATCATTAATAATCCCCTTATTGTTTCTGTAGATCAAAGGTAGATAATGAAGATAAGTTGATTAATTAGGTAAATGTGCAGCATTTTTATTGAGATGTTTCACCTGTCATAGGCATTATCAGTCTGATATAGACATTAGAATGTAGTCATTTATAGTGGAACCCCTGTATAGCCCTTGTGGCTTAGCGCTTCTTTTTGATTATAATAATAATAATAATATAGTGGAACCAGTGGAGTACTGTAGCACTAGATGTGGTATTGCACATGTTTTATTCATAAGCTTTTTGGTATTATATATATCTTAGATCTATAAATACTTGTCTGATACATGGACATCTTGTAACAGAGAATACAAGATGTTACAACTCATTTACAAAATCTCTGGCTCATGTTATGGGCATGACTTCCACTAATGGACCCTGCCCACATGTGATCATGTCTGCTGCTGTTTTATCTTCTTTCTTTCACTGGCTTCACTACTAGATTAACCATCAACTTACTTGTATGAAGCTTGAGTATATCTGCAGCTTGACCACTAAATCTGTGACCTACCTTCTGGGCCTGACCTTCCACTAGTGGCCCTCTCCCATCTGTGACCATGTCTATAACTACTGCACCTGTCCACTCCTTCCACTGGCTCCATCCCACCTTTAACTTTTTCTAACAAGGGCCTCAAGGACTCCAGTGGAAATAAGTCAGTTTGTCTGACTTACTTTCTTGGGTTCTCCTAGGTAATCTACACATATGCTGCTATATACAACAATTTATGTAACTGTATTTATATGTCTCTGTACCTGAATAAACTTACTAACAGAAACTAACCTATAGCACCAACTTTCATATGAATTTTACTCTTGCACTCTCCACTAACTGCTTCCCTCGCACACACCCCTGCTGCCTCTGTCTCACTCCTACCTTTCATACATTCATACTTATACACATCCCTCCCTGCAGTGCTGTATGACCCTTTTGAGTCATGCAGCACTGCACTGCTTTGTTCTTGCATCCCCTCAAGGTGAGGGGGCTCTTGATCTAGGAAATTGGATCTGTGCTCTTGTTCCCTGAATTGAGCCTGAATACCTTCCATCCCCCCCCACGTGTGCTGTATAATCCTACAGGTTTAGCGCTCCCCCATGATTATAGTTATATAATTTGTTCTCACATCTCTGTGTTTGATAAAGATAAGATTAGATTTTGTTCATTCTTTTAATCCCAGAGGGTTAACCACCCAGGGTAACCCAAGAAAGGCTATACATTATCGAGGGACTCTGTTGTGTTTCAATTGGGGTCCTCAATCTTGTTTCCCAAGATGCAAGGCACACCACTCGACTAAAACCCAGGTACCTACTTGTTTGCTAGGTGAATGGGATGACAGGTGTAAGGAGACACACCCAGTGTTTTCATTCTTGCCGAAGATCAAACTACGGACTCTCACTGTCTGAAGCGAGAGTGTTGCTTACCAGGCAATGTAAGTTTTTTTTAAATTTTCAATGGTTGTAGCACTTGTATGCTACATCTTCTTGTACAGTAGGGCTCCTCTTATGCAGGTTAGGTTCCAGGCTACTGCCGGAAAGCAGACATCGCCGGATAGCAGAACGCCATTTTTTTGAAAATATGAACGCATATAAATGCCAGATAACAAGTTTACACAAACATATATTAAGTTAGCAATAGAACTAGACATTTTTAAAAACAATAAAAAGTAAAATGCACACACATACACTCATTATTTGCCTCAAAATATTTGTAGTCTTAATGTAGTATTTATTGTAAGAAGTCGGGTGTGGTAGGTATGGTAGCCCTCCTGGGCACCCCACCCACATATAATATACTACGACGATGCTTAAAGCTTCCTAGAGTGATAAAATGCATATACAGTACACTCATTACATACTTAAAATATTTGTAGTCTTAATGTAGGGTGGGTGAGAGACGAGTAAACGATTGTTATTATTACAAATTATTATTATTACAAGTTATTATCATAATAAAAAAGAGTGCTAAACCCACAAGGATCATGAATAGCTATAGATAGAGTGAAGGCATATGAAAGTAATAAATTTCTAGTTAAGTTACTGGTGATTGACTAGAGGAAAGAACCTTTTAGTAAACAAATCTCATATTTGTCAATTTTTGTACTGTGGGTGTATGTATCATGATTATATGTTATGTAGAGTGTTTATTATATAATTTTGAAAAAAATATCATAATGGATTAATGGAAATGTCTATATTAACGTAATATACGACATTTAATGCACCCGAGAGATTATTATATGGCGTCAAGTAGAGAGAGCCTTAGTGATTTTAATGTGTACCTTCACGCTAGCACAGTGTGTAAGTATATTTAGGTACAGGGACACATAAGTAGTATAATTATCAGAATACAGTGGTACCTCAGGATACGAAATTAATTCGTTCCAGAAGGCTGTTCGAGTGCCGATATAGAACGAATTTGTTCCCATAAGGAATAATGTAAATTAGATTAATCTGTTTCAGACCCCCAAAAATACGCTTACAAAAGCACTTATATAAATAAACTTATATAATTGTTTGAGTTTTCAGCTGTTCATATCCCGAGGTACCACTGTACACATAAAATATGCAGTAACTTTAAAACACTTGAAATTTTGGAAAATTTCCAGACATAATAGAGATATGTGCTCACAGAGAATGTAAACAAACCAGGTGGGGCATCCCGTATTTGAAAGTGCTTGCCTTATAGCAAATTTTGGTCATAATTTGAAATTGCCATATTAGCGGAATGCCGTAAAGCGGGGCCCTACTGTACAATAATTCATTCCTTTGGTATACCACACTGTTTGCACAGAAAATTTTGTTAATATCCCTTTCAACTTAATTTTCTTACAGTTTACAACTGTGGCTTGTAATCTGTTGCAAGTATGAAAAGAATCCTATTTAACTTTTATTTCACATCTTTTTATGACTGTACTGTATATGCTTATCATGCCACCTCTCTTCCTACTGTCATGTTTTGCCCATTTGTTATTGTTTTTGTTTATTTTGTTATGTAAACTCCCAAAGATAATCACATGCAATATGACTTGCAGACACCTCAGCACAGGATGTAAAGATCCAATTACATCTATTACCCATATGTTTAAATGTGATTTTGTTATGATTTGTTTCAATTTTTCTTCCTTTTCCACAAGTGTAAGTTCATTGTTTTTCTTAAGTCGGGTATTAGGGGTACTTGGTGGGTGGGGTATGCCTTGCAGAGTTACATAGCAACCAGAATGCATCTAGTATCCTTTTTGTTCCAGACTGTTTTTGCACTGGACTAGTAAGTTGCCATGGATGGGGGTTTACTGTCCCTTAAGTGGAACAACCATCGCTCCACTTTCCTCCATGTTCTCTCCACTGTCAGACGGAAGGTAATGATTGTATGTGTTATTTGACTTGGAAGTAAGTTGAGTAGATGATTGACAAGAATCATTTGCTAAATGAATTGTAAAAACAAAGTGATAAATAATAAGAGAATGAATGAGACATTGTCAATAACTTCTGTTGAGAATTGATTGGTTTTCAGAGGTGAATAAAGAAAGTAAAATTTATCTGCATATAATTTTTAGTGGTAAGTTTATTGTATTGGATGAAATTGTTAAGCAGAATAAAATAAAAAAATATTTCTCATTGCAGTTGACTGTACAGTACACAAATTACATACGGAAATTAGTACAGTCATGTCTTGGCATTGTGTAGGTGAAGATTGTTATTATGAAGAGTTAGTAATACACAACTGTAGCAACAGATTAAGCATATTTTTTTTTAGAAATTCTGTATGTAAAATATAAAAATACTGAAAATTGCTTAAAATCTAACATTTTTGCCACTTTGAAGCTTATTTCAAGCAACTTCTGGTCAGAAACTAACCAAAATTATCTCTATTTCACTATGTTTTCCACCCTATCAGTTAACCAAAAAAAAGGGGGGATATAAAAACTACCCTAGAAAAAAAAAACTCAAAGCTGCAGAGGTTTGCTTTTCTCATCATACACTGTGGAGGGCAGAATTTTTTTTCTTATACTTCCCATACACATTCTCTCATGTCTACACTAAAATTTACTGTTCACAGCATATTTGAGGATGTTGTGCTTAAAACATAGATCAATATGAGCAATGCTGGTGTCAGTAATGTAGATCTTCATGTGAGACATTGAAAGGGTTAGTTCTTTAATTGAATTTTTTTTGTGTAATTAATATATTACAGGTATTATTGTCTTTATTTCAGGAATCCTATTGTGACGTGACTATTGCTTGTGATGGTAAATTCTATCCGGTGCACAAACTAGTTTTGTCTACGTGTAGTGACTATTTTGAAGAGATTTTTGAAAGAACGAATTGTAAGCACCCAGTCATAGTGCTTAAAGATATTAAACACGCAGACTTGGAAGCCCTGCTAAACTACATGTATGTGGGTGAAGTGAATGTGTTACAGACTGATTTATCTGGACTTATTAAGTCTGCCGAGTGCTTAAGAATAAAGGGATTAGCTGTCCCAGATGAGTCTCCAAATGATTCAGACCCTGCACAGGACAGTAAGAGAAATGTCCCATGGGGTGGAGATGGACCTGAAGCCAAGCGTAGAAGGCCAGAGGAAGTTTCTCCTTTGTCACAAAGAACAAGCCAAACTCCAGGTGACAAGGGGAGGGATCCCACTGCAAGATTGCACGCAACTAATAGAGAACCATTTAAAGTACCCCCCAGGGCAAGAGAGCCTGTCAGAGTTCAAACCAGTCCTAGTCCAGTACCTGTACCACCGAATCCAGAGACTCGCCTTCAAAATGCTACAGTGACAGAGTCACCGCCAGAACTATCGCATCCGGCTTCCTGTGATTCAGGATCTACTACTCAAATTGATACTACCACTACTCAAGGCCCCTGTAACTCAAGTAATGAATTAGCTGGCACCACAGATAATTCAGTAAGTTGAACTTTTTCTCAAATATTTTGTAGTTAGCTTTAGCCTTTTGATTGGTATACTGTATAGCTGTTGTCTCCTCTCTTAAAATAAATGAAATATATTTTCATAGTTTCAGGCTATAAGATGCATTTTTTCTTTTTATAGAAAACTAAGAAAGTAATCCTAGAAGAATTAGGTTTCTGGTTCATTTAAACCCTAATGTAGGGCATTGAGCACACTGAAAAAGTTTTAAATTAATGAAAGTCTGATTGGTCTTCTCCACTGTTGCCGTTTCTTTCGATGTAGATTTTTTTTACATTTGATTCAGTCCCACCTTTTTTTTTTTTCAAGATTAGTGCATGATTTTTATATAAACATTATTAATATAATTATTATAAATATTGATCTTGTAATATTTTTTTTATTTTTGCTATTAGTACTATTTTTTTTTTTTCAACAAGTCGGCAGTCTCCCACCGAGGCAGGGTGACCCAAAAAAGAAAGAAAATCCCCAAAAAAGAAAATACTTTCATCATCATTCAACACTTTCACCACACTCACACATTATCACTGCTTTTGCAGAGGTGCTCAGAATACAACAGTTTAGAAGCATATACGTATAAAGATACACAACATATCCCTCCAAACTGCCAATATCCCAAACCCCTCCTTTAAAGTGCAGGCATTGTACTTCCCATTTCCAGGACTCAAGTCCGACTATATGAAAATAACCGGTTTCCCTGAATCCCTTCACTAAATATTACCCTGCTCAACACTCCAACAGATCGTCAGGTCCCAAGTATCATTCGTCTCCTTCACTCCTATCTAACACGCTCATGCACGCTTGCTGGAAGTCCAAGCCCCTCGCCCACAAAACCTCCTTTACCCCCACTTTCCAACCCTTTCGAGGATGACCCCTACCTCTCCTTCCTTTCCCTATAGATTTATATGCTTTCCATGTCATTCTACTTTGATCCATTCTCTCTAAATGACCAACCACCTCAACAACCCTCTTCTGCCCTCTGACTAATACTTTTATTAACTCCACACCTTCTCCTAATTTCCACACTCCGAATTTTCTGCATAATATTTACACCACACATTGCCCTTAGACAGGACATCTCCACTGCCTCCAACCATCTCCTCGCTGCTGCATTTACCACCCAAGCTTCACGTCCATATAAGAGTGTTGGTACACTATACTTTCATACATTCCCTTCTTTGCCCTCCATAGATAACGTTTTTTGACTCCACATATACCTCAACGCACCACTCACCTTTTTTCCCTCATCAATTCTATGATTAAACCTCATCCTTCATAAATCCATCCGCCGACACGTCAACTCCCAAGTATCTGAAAACATTCACTTGTTCCATACTCCTCCTCCCCAATTTGATATCCAATTTTTCTTTATCTAAATCATTTGATACCCTGATCACCTTACTCTTTTCTATGTTCACTTTCAACTTTCTACCTTTACACACATTCTCAAACTTATCCACTAACCTTTGCAATTTTTCTTTAGAATCTCCCATAAGCACAGTATCATTAGCAAAAAGTAACTGTGTCAATTCCCATTTTGAATTTGATTCCCCATAATTTAATCCCACCCCTCTCTCGAACACCCTAGCATTTACTTCTTTTACAACCCCAGCTATAAATATATTAAACAACCATGGTGACATTACACATCCCTGTCTAAGACCTACTTTTACCTGGAAGTAATCTCCCTCTCTTCTACACACCCTAACCTGAGCCTCACTATCCTCATAAAAGCTCTCTACAGCATTTAGTAACTTACCACCTATTCCATATACTTGCAACATCTGCCACATTGCTCCTCTATCCACTCTATCATATGCCTTTTCTAAATCCATAAATGCAATAAAAACTTCCCTTCCTTTATCTAAATACTGTTCACATATATGCTTCACTGTAAACACTTGATCTACACATCCCCTACCCACTCTGAAGCCTCCCTGCTCATCCGCAATCCTACATTCTGTCTTACCTCTAATTCTTTTAATTATAACCCTACCATATACTTTTCCTGGTATACTCAGTAAACTTATTCCTCTATAATTTTTACAATCTCTTTTGTCCCCTTTCCCTTTATATAAAGGGACTATACATGCTCTCTGCCAATCCCTAGGTACCTTCCTTTCTTTCATACATTTATTAAACAAAAGTACCAACCACTCCAACACTATATCCCCCCCCCTGCTTTTAACATTTCTCTCATGATCCCATCAGTTCCAGCTGCTTTACTCCCTTTCATTCTACGTAATGCCTCACGTACCTCCACCACACTTACATTCTGCTCTTCTTCACTCCTAAAAGATGGTATACCTCCCTGGCCAGTGCATGAAATTACTGCCTCCCTTTCTTCCTCAACATTTAAAAGTTCCTCAAAATATTCTCGCCATCTACCTAATACCTCCCTCTCCCCATCTACTAACTCCCCTACTCTGTTTTTAACCCTTTCAGGGTCCAAGGCCCAAATCTGGAGTCACGCACCAGTGTCCAAGAATTTTCAAAAAAAAAATTTGTTATTTCTTCTTATGAAATCGTAGAGAATCTTTTTGTGAAGGTAATAAAACAAAAAGTACGAAATTTGGTGGAAAATTGACGAAATTATGCTCTCGCGAATTTTGATGTGTCAGCGATATTTACGAATCGGTGATTTTGCCGACTTTGACTCCCATTTTAGGCCAATTACATTATTCCAATCAACCAAATTCTTAGCTATTTCACTAGTATTACTTCTATTCTATCGATTGAGCACAAGAAATCGCCAGGTCAACTGTTTCAACTACAAAATAAAGTGATCTGAAATTGTTAATTTGGCCAATTTAACACAAAGTTCAAAATATTCCAATTTCAAAATAGGGTCCAGAATGAACAATGTAAGGCATTCCATGGCACTAAACTAACATTTCCTCTGTTCATTAGTTATGTTTTGAGGCTTTACAAATAAATTCCATTTTGATTTTTATTCACATAATGAATTTTTATTCACAACCAAAAAATAGAAGATTTACTGTTATGCAATACTGTAATAATTATATAAATATCATCACCATATTTGTGAATGTATATTAGACCCACCAGCTGACGTGTATTAGACGTGTGAGGTCTTTGTTTACTCTTGAATATCGCAAAAATTTAACATTTCTGCTACTTTGAGCTCAGTTTTCAAGCCATTTCCAGTGCTAAAAACCAATCAAAATTATCTCTATTACTGTAATATGTCTTCCATTCTATCAAATGAGACCAAGAAGTCGCAAATACAACTATAAAAACATACGAAAAAACACTGCAAAGTTGCTGTTTTAATCGAAAAATCATGATTTCATTTTTTTTCTCTCATTATACACAGTGTGCTGCAGGATCTGTTTTATGTGGTGCACACATACCACATAGATGTATTCTCTCATATCTAGGCCCAAATGTACCACTCACAGTTTATCAGAGTGAGCTGAGCTCATGGCGTAGATCTACGGTTTGGACCCTGAACGTAAAGCCGTAGATCTACGGGACGGACCCTGAAAGGGTTAACTGACAAATCCATACTTTTCCTAGGCTTTCTTAACTTGTTTAACTCACTCCAAAATTTTTTCGTATTTTCATTAAAATTTCTTGACAGTGCCTCTCCCACTCTATCATCTGCTCTCCTTTTGCACTCTCTCACCACTCTCTTCACCTTTCTTTTACTCTCCATATACTCTGCTCTTCTTATAACACTTCTGCTTTGTAAAAACCTCTCATAAGCTACCTTTTTCTCTTTTATCACACCCTTTACTTCATTCCACCAATCACTCCTCTTTCCTCCTGCCCCCACCCTCCTATAACCACAAACTTCTGCCCCACATTCTAATACTGCATTTTTAGTACTATACTTGTATGATTTTTTCCTGATTATTTGAGTTTGATAAAAATCTTATTGTACAAAAGCTTATTGTTGACAAGCACAGCATTAATTAAAACTGCTGTTAGAAATCTTTTAGTATGGTTTATACTCCTACACTGCTATACAGTTGACCAAATGATTCTGCTTAATGACCTAGATAGGGACTAGACAGAAGATTCGTTAAGCAAATTGCATTTTCCCATACATCTGTATTATAACCTCAAATACAGACTGGGACAGTAATAGTGAAATTTATAACAATGCACTGTACTCATTAGAGATTAAACTTCACTCTTTCCAATTTCCTCCTTCACCTTTTTTTTTATGAATCTCTCAATCTCACCATTTCTCCTAGTTGAAATTTGCCTCCCAGCTAAGAGGGGAGCTACTACCAGTAATTTCAGCTGTTAATTTCTTTACCTAACCTGGCGTCTACCTTTAGAGTGCTCAGAGGGTCCATGCCTTTGTGGCCCAGTCCCAGATCAGGCCTCCCAGTGGATGGTCTAATCAACAAGATTGTTGGTGTTAGCCACACAAACTCAACATCAGCACCACAGCCTGGCTGATCAGAGACTGACTTAAGAAACTTGCCCAGTTCTTCCTTGAAGATAGCCAGGGGTATGTTAGTAATCCCCCTTGTATAGGAAAGGAGAACAATGCTGATATGATTGAGAGATGGATAGGAGACAACAGTTGTATTTGAATGTGTTACTGTCTCAGACTTTGACTCCAGCATCAATGTTAAACTTGGAAATTTTACTTTCCATGCAATTTAAGAGCTTAATGTTTTTTTTTTTCTTTTTTTTTAATATAATAATAAAAATAATAATACTACCATGTACTTAATTGTCTGTCCAACTTGTATATATTTGTTTTGATAAAAAAATGATCTAGTGGTTTATCGAGGGAAGTGATATGTGGTTTGCATCCCCGTACCCACATGTATTATTGTTTCTTGGTTTTCAGTTTATCAGATGTTTATTTGTAGTATATGCTCATTTGATGTATTTCTATTTGATATAATTTGGTCAACAAATAAGAGGTTTTTCACTACAGTTGATCAGGGAAAATGTTTACAGAATTTTATGTTTCATTTAATGTTCAATCATTTTTGGATAAAATGCAGTACATCAGGTCCTCGAATAACGTTATTTCGTTCAATGTTTCGTTATAACGATGAGAAAAAAGAATCACATTAATACAATGAATACAAATTATTGTAAAGTAAAAATTTGTAAATTATATGATAATTATACAAATGCATGACAATAAACAATGCAGTACAAAAGCGCTCAACAAGCCCATCGTGTTTATTATTGTTCGCTTTTGAACTGCATGGTGATAGTAGGTGAATCTTACAATTTTTGCTTTGCAAACATTTATTCCTTGATTTAACCCTGGGTGCTGTGCACCCCTGATGTCTGTGGCCACAAAAAAAAAAAAAGGTGTGACAGAAACAAAACTAAAAGTTTTAACCCTTTGAAGGTTCATCCCGTAGTTCTACGGCTTTGAAGCCTGGGTCCAAGCCGTAATTCTACGCCATGAGCTCGGCTCACTCAGATAAGCTGTGAGTGGTAAATTTGGGCCTAGATACGAGAGAATGTATCTATGTGGTAAGTGTGTACCATATAAAACAAAGCCTGCAGCATTCATTGCATAATGAGAAAAAAAAAACTGATACTTCAGCAATATTTACGCGAGAGCGTAATTTCAACAGTTTTCCATCAAATTTCGTACCTTTTGTTTTATTATCTTCAGAAGGAGATTCTCTACCATTTCATAAGAAAAAATAACAAATTTTTTGAAAATTCTTGGACCCTGTGGACAATTTTCAGATTGGAGGTCTGGACCCTGAAAAGGTTAAAGAGGTTTGATGATGGACAGTGAGGTGTCTTTGTTTATATCAATTAGCCTATAGTAAAATTGGTTTTGTCATACATTTTGCTTAAATTCAGAGTTTCCAAGAACCTATCGACATTGTTAAGTGAGGACTTGCTGTATGCTGATGTGTGGTATATAAAAGGTCAACAATAACATGTTCTCTTGAACTAGTAATATGTATATTCACATTGCATTTGTTGTTGATAGTCCTGCCAGCCTTGTTGATGCGAGAACAACCCGCTGTCATCATTAGTTATAAATTTTCCCTATTCCTGGGATGCTTGTCTTCATCTTATTCTGCCCAATAGGCATATTGAAGGCTGAGGTACCATTCATCAGTTCTATTTTTCCACTGGATATTTTTCAGTTTTGGTGGGAAGCCACTCACAGATTCAGACAGTGATGTAGATGTCCTGCTTTGTTGGGGCCTAGGTAAAGAGGTCAACCTGACTTTTTTTTTTTTTTTTTTTCCTCACACCGGTCATCTCCTATCAAGGTAGGACGACCTGAAAATGAAGAAACTCTCATGAAGTTTTTTTTTTTTTCCAAGGCACAAGCCATATTTCACTAAGGCAGTGTGACCCAAAAAGAAAAAGAAAAGTTTTTTTATTATATTTAGTAATTTATACAGGAGAAGGGGTTACTAGCTCCTTGCTCCTGGCATTTTAGTTGCCTCCTACGACATGCATGGGTTACGGAGGAAGAATTCTTTTCCACTTCCCCATAGAGATGATAGGAAATAAAGGTGAACAAGAATTATTAAGAAAATAGAAGAAAACTCAGGTGGGTGTGTATACATATGTGTGTACATTCCTATGCGGCATGACCTAAGTGTAAGTAGAAATACCAAGATGTACCTGTTATCTTACATGTTTATGAGACAGAAGGCACCAGAAATCCTACCAGTGTGTGAAATAATTACAAGCTTCCATTTCACTCATTTGGCACAACTGTAGCACTTTCCTGGGTAGTTGCTGTCTACCAACCTACTACCTAAACCTGAATTAATTGGAAATTTTTAGTTCACATTTCTATTTGCAAAAGGAATGCCTCTTCACTTTCCTTTATTGTCAAGCTTTGAGCTATATTTCTTCCCCAGATATTGGGAAGCAGGGCATTATGCAGTAAAAGCTGCCCCCTCCCCCTCCCACACACACACACAGCCACCACCACCACCTTGGCATGAGGTTATACGAGTGCAAATTTAGTTGTTAAGCAGGGGAATTGGGAGTTTTTTTGTTTGTTATTCCAGATTCCAAATTTGCTAATGCTCATTAAGCAGAGGTCGACTGTATGTGGTAAGAGTGCTGTTATCTAATTATGTCTTTAGCATTTTGACTTCTTTTAAATGGGACTGTACACACACTTTCTGTGGGAACTCATATTTCACTTACATTTGACAGTTTACAACAAACCCTCAGTTTAATGAACTCTGGAAATAAGAGAAAACTTGCTGGCTCGGCTCATTTAGAAATGATGGACAAAGTTCATTGATGATAGAATTGACTTTCATTGTTGTGATCATGGCAAAACAATTTCATGTCTTCCACAACTGCCGTTATCAGCCACTTTCTTTCTCCTATTAGTCCTTTAAGTCAGAGCCTAAACAATATATGCACAGTACTGTATCACAGCACTCAGAAACAAGGAAAAATGGCAGGAAACTTATTTTTGAAAATGACTTAGGATTCTTCATCAGTACCCTGGGAATATAAAGGAAAAATGTAAAGGTGACACTTAACTTAAGCCAAGGCTTTTACTACATATAATTTTTCCTTGTTTTTGCAAGGTGTTGTGTTAACCATTTTTTAAGAAAATAGTGAACTTCTTGTCATATGGTGCTGTTTAAGTATTTAGCATGCATTCAACACACAGTTGGTAATGGATGATCCCCTAGTCAAAGAAGAACCTCAGGATGAATATTCAGAAGCTGACGATACCAAAGAATCCATTCCATCAGCAGACTCCGATCCTAGCATAAATTATTCTCTTCACGGTGATCACTTGGGCAGCTTAGCAGGGGAGACTGCAAGTACGGGGTTTAATCCTGCAGGCATGAGGCCCACCAATCAGCCACAAACTATGGAAGATCTTGTCGCACAGGCTCTCCCTGGAGCCTCAGGACTGCAAGGAGTAAGTGAAAGCAATATTTTTCATGTAATGCAAAAATTGTAGTATGATTAGTCATGAATATGATAGGAATACTCATTTGGCCATTCTCTCTATTGTTCTCATGTTTCTCTTTCTCATTCTCTTTCTCCAAACAAAGATGAATTATCAGTTTAATAGTATATATTGATGGGAAATAATAAATATTCGGATTTAAATTTTTAGCTGTACTGTATTTCAGTTTTACAGAAATGCATTCAAGTACACCAAGCACAGTTATTGTTTGCTTAGATGTGGACAGTTTTGAATACTCTTATTAATTTGTTGTGTTCATGTCCAGAAATCCTTGTGGGAAAGTGATCGAGGTCTTCTTGGAATGCCTTTTGAAGGCTTCTCAGGAAATCAGAGCAGAGCTTCACAAATGGTGAGTGTACATTAATGGTTTATAAGTGACCTTCCATAACTAAATAGTTTCTAGTAATCTCATTGTTCATGTTAAACAGTGCCATTAGTTTTATTTGGGGTTATACAGACTGAATTATGGTAAAAATGCCGTTCTGGTGAAATTACTTCATAAACGGCACTTTTGCTACCAATAGTTTTTAGTGGAGACTGTTCAGGCTAAACTTCATAAACTTCAATAATATGCAGTGTTCTGGTGCAAATGCTTTATAACCTTCATATACAGCACTTTAGTATCATTTTTTTTATATTAAAGATTTAGAATTTTGTTTTTATCTGCTTCTTTATAAGATAAAACCAAAAGAGTTTTAATAAATTCTGTAAAGTTAGAAGAACACTGGGATTTGGAGAACTTTTTAGACCCAAAAAAATAGGCATGCAAGAAAATTTTTAAGATGTTGTACAAGAGAGGCTCTGCTTTACAACAGTTTGCTTTATGGCATTTTGCCAATGCAGCGGTTTTCAATTATACCCACTCTTCATTTATTCAGACTTCCTGCAATAAATATATTCACCATTCACTATAAGCTAAGGACAAAAATATTTTAAGATAAGTAATGTGTGTACCATATATGCATCTTTTTGGCCAGCCTATTGATCACTAATATAGTAGTGAAAAATGTTTATTGGGCTTTTATATACTTTGAATATAAACAAAGGCTATCTTTCATTTTGCAGTGATTTCCAATTTATAGCGTAGCCCCACACCAAACCGCTGAAAGCGGTCCCCCTGTAACTTTGAGGTATACCTCGTATACCTGTGAAAGCTTCTCAATGTCTTGTAATAAATTGTATATTTCCTGATGGAGTTTTTTTTGGTACAGTGAAAATTTAAAAAAAAATATTGGCACTTTAAAAGAAAAATTTTAAAGAACTCTTGCTCTTCTGAGGGCAAGACTACTTAGGTCATGAAAACGTTGCTTCCTTGAGGGGGACAGTCAGTATTATTTAAAAATGAAATGATTGGCTTTTTTTATGTTTATTTAAAATCTACAAATAATTAAAACTTTTAATCAAGCAGTTGAAAAGGGACTTTTGAATATAAAATTCGATAAATTTTGTAATTAAAAAAAATTGGTAGAAAAATGAAATGGGAAAATTTATGGTTTAGGAATGAATCTCCTTTTTATAACATAGGTGTTTAAGGAAACAAGTTCCTATTCTGAACCCTGAGTAAAGAAAAATTTTCAGAAACTTTTTTATGTTTAATTTGGGGAGCCAATAATATGATAAGTAAGTTTTTAAACATTTGCATTATGAAATAGGGGAACCCGGGTTTTCAACGCCTACCATGAAAAATTTTTCAGGATCGAACCCTTTTGGTTGTTTTTTTGCTTCTGTATAACGAATTTCGGATCGAATTTCCCGCTCAAGGGGGGTTCCTTAGCCCTTTCGGGTCCGTGCCGCAGTCTACGGCTTTACGTTGAGGGTCCAAACCGTAGATCACGCATGAGTCGCTCACTCTGTAACTGGGGGTTGGTAAATTTGGGCCCTAGATAAGAGAATACACCCTTTGGGGGCATGGTGCACCCAAAAAACAAACCTGCGCACTAGGCAAAATGAGAAAAAAACTGAGACCGTAATTTCGATTAAAACAGGACTTTGAGTGTTTTTCATTTTTTTTATAGTTAATTTGTGATTTCTTGGTCTCATTTGATAAAATGGAAGATAATTACAGGAAAAATTTTTGTTTGGTTTTGGGGGTATGGAAATGGCTTAAAAACCAAATCAAAGTAGCAGAAATGTTAAATTTTTGCCGATGTTAAAGGTAAACAATGACCTCGCACACTAATACACGCCGCTGGGGGTCTAATACGTTCACAAATGGGTGATATTTTTAAAAAATTTATAATATTGCATAACAGTAAATTTTTCTTTTTTTTGGTTTTTAAAAAAAAATTTTAACATGTAATAAAAAAATCAAAATGGAATTCTTAGTAAACCCTAAAAAGAAACTAATGAATAGAAAAATATTGTTTAGTCCCAGGAATGCCTAAATTTTTTATTCGGGGCCCCTTTTTTGAAATTGGAGTATTTTGAATTTTGCATTAAATTGGGCCCAAAAACCCCCAAATTTTCCGTCATTTTATTTTGTATTGAAACAGTTGATTTTGGCGATTTCTTGGTCAGTCGAAGAATAAAGTAATATTATGAAAAGCTAAGAATTTGGTCGATAAAAGATGTATTGGGCCTAAAATGGGAGTCAAAATCGGCAAAATCGCCAATGTGTAAATATCGCTGACACATCAAAATTCGTGAGAGCATAATTTCGTCAATTTTCCATCAAATTTCGTACTTTTTGTTTTTTTACCTTCAGAAAAAGATTCCTCCCTTTTTCATAAAAAATAAAAAATTTTTTTTTTTAAATTCTTAGACCCTAGTGCACACTTTGAACAGGTTAAATATATAAATAAATAAAATATTTATTTCTTTGCAAAGGTTACAGTGTGTGTTTACATCTCGTAATATAATTGGAGCAAAAAAAGCCACTATCATGCCGGGGCATTTCAGGGAGACTTAATCTAATACTAATAGACTACTTAACCCGTTCAGGGTTTCTGACGTACTAGTATGGCTTACGTACCAGGGTTATTGATGTACTAGTACACCTAAATTCTACCCCTCCTAAATCTCAAGAAAAAGTGGTAAAACCTACTATGAAAAAGGGGTCTATTTGGTCGTGTGTGCATAAAAAAAAATCCTGCGCACACAGTGCATAATGCGGAAAAAAAAATTTGACCGTGTTTTTGGTTTAAAACAGCGATTTTGCACTGTTTTTTGTATATATGGTGTATTCATTTTTACGGGTTTCATTTTTATAGAATGGAAACATATTACAGAAATTGAGAAAATTTTGATTGTTTCACAATTAAAATTCCCTTTGAAATTGGCTCAATACAGAAATGTTTGTTTTTCCCAAAAATTAAAAAGAAACAAATCAGCCCGCGCCAAAATACACTAAAATGGTGAGTTTTAAACCCCCTCGGGTCCAAGGCCCAAAACTCTGAAGGGGTGCTCCAGTGTCCAAGAAATTTTTAAAAAAAAAAAAAAAAATTATTTTTTCTTCAGAAATTAAAAAGGGATTTTTTTGTGAAGGTAATAAGACAAAAAAAAAATTCTGATCATACTTACCGGATACAGTGCCAAAAGTTTTTTCGAAAATTTATGTGGTGGCGGCAACATCGACAAATTCCACTACCCCATTTCATTTTTTGCGGTTTTTGTTTTTTTTTCTTTCTTTCCAAATTTTTTTTTTATTCCTACAAAAATTTTGGGGGGTGGGGCCAAAACTGTATAAATTTATTAAACTACTGTATTGAACACAATAAACCCGAAAGTTATTTTTATATTATTGTTTTTCCACTGTTTTTATACTTTCTATCATATATTTACATTTTACAAACTGGACATGGTTTTTTGAAATGCTGGGGCTTGTGGAAATCCCTTTAAAAGGTACCATGCACAAGGCCCTTAACATTCCCACACATAAACCAGTGTCTTTTCGTCTTTGTTGCCGTCTTTTTTTTTGTGCACAATGACATTCTTCTGAGCAAATTTCTTCTAGTTGAAGGAAGTTTTTTTTGAAATGATCCCTTCCCTCCTAAAGCTTGGTATATCCTGTGAAATTTTGGGGGGACCCCTGTTTATAGCAGGTGTTTTTACCTGGATTCAATATGAGTTGTCTGCAACAGACAAACAAAAAATTCACCTACGGGGGGTCTGTTTCCCGCTTTATTTGGGAAAATTATATGCTTGAGCATTGAAAAGTCCAGAAAGGAAAAAAAGTTTAGTACCCCTTGTAAATCTTACGAAACAGTCAACAAAACCAAACGCATGTCACATTTGTCAACCAAGCGCAGTTTTGTGTAAATTTTAATCACGTCCCCTGGTTTGAATACTTCATTAGTCAAATCGATCAATTTGCCCCTGTCTTGCATTTCTTACGGTGAATGGTTTTTAACAAGTGACTTCCGTTTGTCATGCCACCGAATGCCCTGATTCTTGGGAGTAAACACCTGCACGTCATCACCCCGAGCACCTGCGTTGAGCCTTGGCATATGTTTTCGATTAAACCACTGTGCCACACACATCTGTTTGTTACTCGCATGAAAACACTAGTAATGGGGTTGTGTACCAGTTATCGGGTTTTAAAGTATGCCCCTTACCCAAGATAAGGTCCATAGTTTCCACTACGTCACCCGAGAACCATCCGGTATCTTCAATGTTTTACTACCCCTGTATACAACAAATCCAACAAAGGCCACTGTCACAATCAAAGTACAAAAAGTTTTATAACCCAAAACGTTTTTCTTGCCGGTTATCGCTTGAAAGCAGTTTCCTTTGAACAAAAACAAAGATCGAATTACAAATTTTTGAAAGGTAAAAGTATATGTGAACTTTGTTTGAGATAATGAAAACATTTCTAATCTTTATAACCCGTCACTTCTGTCAGGGCCTGGTTTTTTCAGAGAAAATGCACATCTAAGAGAGGGGAAACCTGTTCAATGGGATGATTTTACTGAAGACCGGGGGAAAAAAATTAGCCCCATCTGTGACCAGTATGCTTTTTTTATTATGCTTTTAGCGGAGGCAAAGATTATTGTTGCAAAAAGAAATCATTTCTGCAACAGTCGTCTCTTTTCCCCTTTTTGGTCTTGACTGTGGTGATAAACGTATTTGCCAGGTGTACCAAAATAGTTATTCTTTCCCTGACAATAATTTCCATCAATGGCGGGGCAAAAAAAAATTTAAAGAAATTTCCCGTTCATTGGCGGGTTCCAAGGGGGCAAGTAGGTAGAATTCCACTTGAGAATTTCAAAATGGTGAGGCTTGGGAACAAAATTGGGGTTTTTCTGCCAACCCCCATACGGTTTGTGGGGATACTACATCAAGGGGGTTGTGGGGTGGTTGGGTTGTGGTGGGTGGTGGCTGGCCTCCCCTTTGTCCTTGAACTGCGAGTCA